ACAGAATTTCTTGAGTTCGGTGGCGCGTCAAGAGCCACGGAAGCAAGGCCGTGCCTGTAGGGCGCTGTTCAGCGAAATCTGTCGCCAAGGAGGAATCGTGAGGGGAGCCAACCTTTTATCTTCTTACGGGCTCTTCAGCACGAGAGTCGACAATGGGTCTATGTGCGACAGAGTGTAAAGCTGAATAGGCCTCTCGACAATCGGCACCAATGCCGTCAAGGCCAGGCTTTATTTGTTTCCTGTTGATGCCGTGCTCGGTTGTTTGGGAGGGAGACGTCGCTTCCGAATTAGGGACCACGATAGCGAGGTAGAGGCTCAGAGAGGCTTTGCCAGATTATGACCCGAATTGCTGCTTGCCTGGAAACAGAATGCTTGCCAAAAAAAAAACCGCTCCGCACGCTAAGGGCTGAGGTGAGGGTGCGATGCGTGTCCAAAAAAAGAAGTTGGCTCGAGGAGGTGTTGGTTCGTGATGTTAGTGACGGTGGGAGCCTGATGCCAAGCTAGACACCATGAACCGTTCGACTTCTCAGTCCTGCTGGCGACAAGTTCTTGGCTTCTGGGGGAAGCAACGACAGCGTCGTGGCGCCTTCTTCCGCTGCGCGGATTTGCATACTGCCTTGTACCTTCCAAGACTTGTCACAACTTTCACCATAGGATCGCATAAGATGAGCCGAAACGACTGTCTTTATCAAGGCTAGACACTGAACAATCTAGACGCTTATTAAACCTTGACACAAGCTCACCCAGAAGGTAATTCCGTTTGATTGGCCACAACGCCAAAAGAATGGATCATACGAACTCATTTTCGACACACGGGATTCTCGTCTCTCCAAACCAAAACCATCGTAAATCACTCTCGCGCGATATCCCCACTCCTCATTGAGATGTGAAGGCCGTACCCAGTGTGCCCATGGTTGCTATCTAGAATGACTGGTGTGTGCTACCATTAAGATATGCCTGGAATGCCCTCTGTCGTATGGTCAGTGACGTGCTCAAGGCAGAAAATACAGTCCAGCGTCACTTACGGGGTTACGGGTCTGCATGTAGACAGTGCCTGGTCCTGTGAATTTGCAGACGAGCCCCTCGCCCGAGGAGATGCCCGAGATGATGCCACCCGAAGCCACGCGCTCAATGATGTACTTCGTGTTCCACGCGACAAGGTGTCCATTGTCGACGATGTACTTCTCGCCGGGGATCAACTATTCTGTGTCAGTGACGAAAAAGAAAAGGACTCAGCATACAACACTCTCTCACATCTTTACGGATGATGGCACCGAAGCTGGTGATCCAGAGCAGACCGGTCCCGCTGATCTTATACACAAACAGGCCTTCGCCGCTGAAGATGGCTTTGCCGAGACCCTGGCGCTTGTAGTCGCAAATGACGCCCTGCGTCGACGCGACGTAGGCATCCTGGCCTACGGACCAGAATTCTTTGCCCGTCAGGCGGATGCTCGTCAGATCACCCAGCATGGCGGGGGCCAAGAGGACCTCACCAGGGCCCGTGAACGTTGACTGGGCGAGTTCTGCGCCGGCCACGAGCTTCTTCATACTGAACTTGAGCTGGCCCCGCAGAATCACCGTCGGTGACATGGCAATCATGGTGCCCGGCTTCGCCTTCAGGGGACAACCTACGGCCAGCTGGATGGTGAGGATGGTGTTACTGTCGCGATGGCTGATGCGATAGCTGCCTCCGTTGAACGTGCCGACATCGTCCACGGCAGACGTGCCGGTCGCGCCCACAAAGAGCTCCGGGGGCGGAGCGCCCGAGATGAACTTGACCGGCCCCTGGTTCGGAACTTCATCCTCCTCGTCCTCGTCGCTATCTTGGTCAAAGGCCTGCCCTTTTTCCGGGGGGTAGGCAGCGGTCGGTGGCCCATCGAAGGATGGCGGCCCATCAAATGCAGCAGGAGGCGGTGGCGTCGCAGTTGAGTGCTGTTGGTTGTCTGGGCTTGCCACTATGTGCAGAGGAATTTGGCTTTGCTGCTGCTGAAGCTGATCAACCGGGGGCAACGGGTAATTGTGCTGTTGCTGTTGCTGCGGTGATTGTGACGGCGGAGGGGGATACTGCGCGGAGCTCTGAATAAGCGGGGGACTTGTAGCCTGTGGAGGAGGCGGGTATGAGTTTGTTCGCGACGATTGTGGTGAGGGCTGTTGTTGGGGAGGTGCTGGGTAGCTGTGGCCTGGCTGAAGTGCTGACGGGGGCGCGGGGTAATGAGTGGCCTCGCCCGGCTGCCCAACGGATGGCGGAGGTGGATATCCCTTTGGCTGCGCCAGAGACGGCGACGGCTGCTGAGGAGGTGGCACCGAAAATGTTGTTGGTTGATGCTGGCCCGATTGAGCGCCCTGTGAGGAAGAGGGTATGAGAACGTAGTTTGCTGAGCGGGAGGAGAGGTTGGAAGCGGGATCGAGGCAGCGGCGGGAGGCGCGGGGTAGCTCTTTCGAGGTACTGGCAAGGTCAGTCAACGGGAACGACAGCGCGAAATCAAGCTCCGAGAAGTGACGAACTGCCAAAGAATCGCTTGCCGGAGGACGAGGAGGGAGCTATTTGAACGTGAGCGTTGGCGCTTGATCTGAGAAGGCATAGATGGACCTACGGGGGTCAAATTGTTGCGACATGGTGATGATTGCTAGTATGCGATGCAATCTTATTGCCCAACAACCGGCTCTGTACCTTCGTCGACCGCCGTGTCCCAAGCCAGGGCTGGTAAAGATGCTGATGACGGATGAGCCTGCGAAACACAAGGGCAGAAGAAAGGAGGAAGGAGGACGTCGAGAGACGAGAGATACCGAGCACAGTTCTCCCCCCGCATCTGTTGTCGCTACGGAGCCTTCTCACCTCAAGCACAGCCACGCGACGCAAGCGCAACAATACCGAGCCGTCCAATTCTTTTGTTGCGGGTAGGGTGCTCTTGCCTATTGAACACCAGGGCGGCAGCAAAGGCGATCGTCAAACCCCTGATAAACGAAGCTGGGATTTACGAACAAAGAGGGAGAGCAAGTGGCGCGCCTCGCGACAGCAGTACCAGGTCGATATAAAGAACCAGGGCGGGGGAGGAAGCTCTCGAAGCTTGGGAGGTCAATCCATTTTCCAGGGT